CTTGATGACAATGTCAAGAAATTATGCGAATATGATGAAAAGAAGGGTTGGAGACCTCGAGACTAAAGTACATATGATGAAAAGAAGGGTTGGAGACCTCGAGACTTATATGCCTTATCCTAAAAGTTGACAAGCCAAATCAGATGAGTCATCTTCGACCCATAAGTCTTTGTAATGTTTGCTACAAGATTATCTCTAAGGTCTTATGCCAAAGACTAAAAAAGGTTCTCCCAGATATGATTTCTGAAACCCAATCAGCCTTTGTTGCTGGGAGACAGATTTCAGATAATATAATGATAGCCCAGGAGTTGTTCCATGCCTTAAGAACAAAACCAAGTGGGCGGAATAAGAGGATGGCCATCAAAACTGACATGAGTAAGGCATATGATCGTATGGAGTGGTCTTTCATTGAAGCCACCATGAGGAAGATGGGGTTCTCAGAAGTTTGGATTACCTGGATTATGCGATGTGTAACGACAGTTAAGTATAAGGTACTCATGAATGGTCAGCCACGAGGGAATATTGTCCCAGAGAGAGGTCTACGTCAGGGAGATCCTTTATCCCCTTTCATTTTTATTCTATGCACGGAAGCGCTCCTTAGCCTTCTTAATCACGCAGAGAGTCAGGGAAAGATAACGGGGATGCGCATCACACGTGTGTGTCCGTCGGTATCCCACTTGCTCTTTGCTGATGATAGCCTTTTATTTTGTAAGGCGGAGCCCCGTGAGTGTGAAGAAGTAATGAAAGCGGTTAGGAAATATGGACAAGCCTCTGGACAGTGTATTAATTTTTACAAGTCTTCCTTACTCTTTGGTAAGAGAATCGGTTTAGAGGCCAGGCAGGAGATCAAAGATATACTCGGGATCCAAAATGACGCAGGAATGGGGACCTACCTTGGAATACCAGAGGATATCAGTGGTTCGAAATGTAGTTTGTTTGCCTTTTTAAAAGACAAACTCCAGAACAGAGTGAATGGATGGATGGGCAGGTGGTTGTCTAAAGGTGGAAAGGAAGTAATGATTAAGTCGATCCTATTAGCCCTCCCAACCTATGTTATTTCTTGTTTTTTACTTCCATTGGAGATATGTGATGCCTTGGCTAGTGCCATTACACAGTTTTGGTGGAGTTCAAACCCACCAAAGAGAGGATTACAATGGACAAAATGGGACAAGTTGTGTCTTTCTAAAGAGGAAGGTGGGATTGGATTTAGGATGATTCATGAGTTCAATCTGGCTTTATTAGCAAAGCAGTTGTGGAGATTGGCCCAAAATCCAGATTCTTTGGTTGCTCGAGTTATGCGAGGGAGATATTATCGATTAAGTTCGCCTTTGCGAAAGCTTAATGTCAGCAGCCCATCATATGTGTGAACAAGCATCTCAGCTGCAAGAGAGCTATTGTTATTGGGGGTTAGACAGAAAATTCATTCAGGGTATGAAGTAAAGGTATGGGAGGATCCATGGATTCCCAAAATCCCGGCAAGACCAGCACATGCATCTGCTCCGGTTTTGCATCCGAATATGAGAGTGAGTGATCTAATCAACCAGGAAACAAAGAATTGGGATCAGGAACGGCTGGAAAACTATATTGATGCTGCTGATATACCTCTCATAAGGAGTATGGCCATTATTTCAACCCACCGTAGAGACACACACTGCTGGAGTTATACAAGGAGTGGACAGTACACAGTTAAGTCCGGCTATTGGGTAGCTCGAAACATACTAATGAAGGAGGATGAGGGTTTGGTGGATGAACCTAGTATTAAAAGGCTTCAAGCACAAGTTTGGAAGATCAAAGCACCCCCGAAGATGCGCCATCTTATGTGGCAGATTATATCGGGGCAGGTGGCTGTTACGAGTGCGCTAATCCATAGACACATGAGATGCGATAATTTCTGTCCACGATGCGGAGAACCGGAAGAAAAAATTGCACATGCAATTTTTCAGTGCCCACCGACTTTACAGGTTTGGGCCTTAGCATCTATACCTACCAGCCCAACCCTATTTCCTTTGGAAAGCACTTATGAGAAGATGGACTATCTATTCTGGCGGAAGAAGGCCATTTGTGGGCCGGAATTAGACAAGGATCCTTATCCTTGGTTAATATGGTACATTTGGAAAGCTCGGAATGATAACTTGTTCAGAGGAATAGATAGAGACCCTCTGGAGCTGGCCCGGTATGCAGAGAGTGAGTGTCTTGCCTGGTTTCAAGCTAATGAGCAGGATGTTGTGATTACTCAAGATAATAGCGATACTGATTGCCAGACCATAGGTCTACGAAATATTTGCATGATAGACGGTTCATGGACCTCTATAGATCATTTCTCTGGTTGTGGATGGGTTTGGAAGGATTGCATGGGAAATAGCCAATTGATGGGGATGCGGAATGTGAGTAGAGTGGAGTCGGCTTTGCATTCGGAGCTGGAAGCGCTGTGGTGGGCAATGGAGAACATGCTTCAACATTCGCCATGTCAGAGCTTTGGGACGGACTGCAAGGAATTGTTAGCAATGCTCACGGATCCTCAAGGATGGCCTAGATTTTCGACGGAACTGGAGAGGATCTCGACGCTGAGGATTTGTTTCCCAGACTTCAAGATATCTTATGTACCTAGATCTTTAAATGCTATGTCTGATCATCTAGCTAAAACTGCCCGATCTTTTTATCGTGATCTCACGTATGTTGGTTGTTCTATTCCGGTCTGGATTCCCAGACCACCTCAAGCTTGAGTAATAGATCAGCCTTTCGTTGTCAAAAAAAAAAAAAAGATGGGCTATGCATGGCGGCTTGGCCGGAGAGGGGAAGACTCCCTTAGAGTAGCTTAGTCAAAAAGAGTTAGACCATTATTATCCCAACACCCCACTAGGGGATGCTTAGATTTTTTTTTATATTTTTTTTCAGATTAAAACAAAAAAATAATAATAACAAAAAGGATCAATCGCGGACCGTCACGTGTCTTGGGGCCTGCGGAACAGACCAAGAATCAGCTAGAATTCAACGTTTATAGTGGAATCACAAGCGCTAGTTTTCTCCTTTTTTGTAGACCCCCTCTAAAATTCCCCCTAAGCGCCTGGGATAATTATATCCTTAAGAAGTGAATTTTGGCTCTAGAGTATTCGTTCAGGAAAACAAAAGAAAAAATTACCGACCAATCAAAGAATTTATATTTCCATTTTATATGTGAATCAAACATACATGATATATTTATAAAAACATCTTAAAGTTTTCTCTTTCTTATATATTTTATATTTCAAAATGACTAAAATACAAGAAAAAATGGCATATTCGTCATATGTGATAAAGTTATTAATATTTAAATTCCAATGAATTATCAAATGATTTAATAATTATCAAGTAATTTGAAAAACAATTTACAAGTAACACGTAACAAAACAAGATAAATAACTTGTAATCTCGTTAATTTTTAACTATTTAAAATTGTAAGTATTCATTTTTAACAGATCAAAAATAATTTTAATATATTACTACGCGTAAAAATCAAACCGAATACCAAAAATACCAGTGCTAGGCTAGTGCCCATTCCACTGTCTGAGCATTAATGAATCATTGAAAGAACAGATTACTTATTTAGTTTAAAATAACAAAAATCTTGTCCTTCAAATAAATAAATAAAAATTTGGTGACGTTAGTCTATTGATCTTTTATAATAGGAATAATTGGGAAATACTCTATTATTATTATTTTAAATTTGAAAGATACACATTCTTTTCATTTTATTTAAAACTACACTGTATTAAATATGAAGAGTATTTTTTATCCAGATTAGATGTTTTATTAATTAATTAAATATAAATATGAATTAGTAATAATATTAATATTATTATAATTATTTATGTTTAAGATAAATCTTCAAATGATGATTTTTTTACTTGATCATCTAGTTTCTATGTATAATTTTTATATTTTTCTCAACTATAATAAACAAGCTGTAAACTCCTCATTTTTTGGTACAAAAAAGTCACGTCCTTCTCTCCAAACACAGTCTTTTCTTACCACAAACCATTTTCTATCTGTGACTACTCAGATTTGTAAAATTTAATTCTTGTTACCTTATGGCAATTTTTTGCTATATCTAAATTCTTTTAATGAGGAATCTACGCTTTTGATTTATGTTAAAAGCTTTTGGGAAAATCAAAGCAATCGTTTGATTCTTATCTTTTACAAATTTGTTTCATTTATACTCTTTAAATCGACACTGAGTAGTGCATGGTTCAAAAGAAATACAATGGAAAAAGAAAGGAGAGGAAGAACAAACACATAACAACAGTTTAAAATCAAAGAAAAAAAAATGTTGTTGCTTGAGATTAATTTCATCTGTCTATGACAGAGTTTTCTTTTTTTTCTTTTTGGGTAAACGAAGATTTACTAAATTGAATTATATTTAATGATGTTGGTAAAGAATTAACAAAATTATTAACGAGAGGAAGAAAAACTATGAAACTAGACAAACAAGTGGTTTGTAAAATTGGGGAATAAAAAATCATGGGAAGGAGATGAGGTCTCCTTTGTATTTTTTTTTTCTTTTTCTCAAATTTTTAAATGTTTAAGATATTGTGTATGTATTATAAATATTTTTTTAAACAATCATATATTCTTGTTGAAATTGTTTATTTGAATGTTAAATAAATTTTGATGATAAAAACTGATAATATACTTTAGTAAATTCATATATACAAAAGTTATTTTTAGAAAAACACAAATAGTAGTATAATTTTAAATTACAATCTCATGTAAGCCTAATTCCCCAAATTTTCCCAATTATATTATGCATTGGCTGGTTTATGTATAAGTCAAGTCAATGAATATAAGTCAAGAAAAATACTGTAGCTGCATTAAAAACAACAAAACAAAAACAAAAATTAAGACAGCATTTAAGGAGACTACACACGCAAAGCTTTAACTTTCAGTATACTACGATAGACAGACAACCATTATTGTGAACCCAAAAAGAAGAAGAGAGCGAGTAAAAAAAATCCGACGACACGATGCCCACGTGTCTACTCCTCACCGTCTGGTTCCTCCTGTGTATCCCCGGTTCGCTTCACCTAGTTCGAGCTCAAAACCTTACCGGAGCCACTACTGATCCTGACGAAGGTCTCTCAATCTGTCCTTGCACACTTTAAAATAATTGATAACAAGTTGTCTTGTTTAAACATAACCAACGTTGTTGTGGGATAAACAACAGCGGAAGCTTTGAACTCCATCTTCGCGGCTTGGAAGATCCGGGCGCTGAGGGAATGGAACACAAGTGCCGATCTTTGCTCGGGCGCTGCCATCGACGAAAACATCCAAATTGACGACCCAGCCTACAACCCTTTTATCAAATGCGACTGCACATTCGAGAACTTCACAATCTGCCGTATCACGGCATTGTACGGCTTTTTTTTTTTTTTTTTGTCTTTGTGCATTCAACCACTGAATGTTGCCATGCTGATTGTTTTATTTCCACAGAAAGGTGTTTGCGAAAGATGCTGTAGGGCCTATACCTCCACAGCTCTGGACTTTGATATACCTAGAAAATCTGTATAGACTTGAACTTTTACCGTCATACAAAAGAGCCTGTAAAAAACAGTCATTTTAACTTAAAATCACAAGCCTCTTTCTTTCAGGAACTTGGCTCAAAATTATCTTTATGGCTCCATTTCTCCTGCAATTGGAAATTTGACTCGAATGGAATGGCTGTAAGACCGTCGATTGAATGAAACCTTCTTATTTACTCATTTATCTTTCTTGTCTCTCAAGCCCCAACTGTTTCTCAATACTACCGTAGGACTTTTGGGATCAATGCCTTATCTGGCCCCTTTCCCAAGGAAATTGGTTTGCTTACAAACTTGAAATCTCTGTAAGCTTCTTCTTAAAAAAACATAATAAATGTCAGATTTTGATGCTTCCTTATTATTAAATCTGTTGTGTGTATATTTTCTACATGCAGTGGTTTTGGTGTGAATAAGTTTTCCGGTTCTATACCAGCTGAGATTGGGAACTGTACAAAACTAATGAAAATGTGAGAATGTACAAAGTACTTCTTTAATGTATTCATTTCTTCAGAGTTCTTAGTTCACATATGAAAATTTAATTAGTAACCTTACAAAATCAGTCATGCAGTCTTGTATAAGCATTTCTTACATTTATTGCAGATATCTCGGAAATTTTGAGCTTAAAGGGGGATTACCTTTATCATTTGCTAATCTTGTAGAGCTTACAGACCTGTAAGATTTTCTTATTGAGTTCACATATAATGGAGACTAGGTGATTTTCCGGTACACATGCACGAATTAATATTTAAAATATTATTTATAAGAATTGTTCAGTAATTACTTTTATTTTTTGAAATTTAACATTTAGATTAATTTTATTATATTATTTTTTGTATATAAAATATGTTGAACAATATTTAAATATATTTTAGATATAATATCACTAAATCGCATTAAAAATATATTAAGTGTTAAGAAAATACAAAAATAATTTCATTGTGAATATAAAATAAAAATTATAATGATAGGTTCTTACTTATATAAAATATATATACATATAAGTTATTAATTTATAATTTTAATAAGGCGATATATTTAAATAGAGTTCTCTAAAAAATATTATATTATTATTTTATCAATTTGTGTCAAATTTGAAACCGGCCTAAGTTGGGATCCGTGAAATTTATTCATTTGTAGAGATTATTAATTTATCGAGTATTAATTTATAGATGTTTTACTGTAATATGTAATTCATTATATGGTGACACATATACAATAGGACACTTAAAATGAAACGCAAATATAAATTTATAAAAATACCCGCGATACAATTGCATTACAAAATGATAACACATCTAAATTGTATACAAGTCACATAAAACATATATATATATATATATTAACACGTGCGCGGGTCAAGTTTTAGTTTTTATAATTAAAACTGGTGTATACATATGTAACTGAAGTAAAACAAATTTTTCAATATTTAATTTTATTATCCTAACTAAACATATGAATATGTATAAAAATTCGATTGGTTTACTTATTTTAGCTAAACTGAGTTTTATATTTTCATTCTGAACTAAATCATAATTTAACAGATGTAGTTTTGTAAAACAAATAAGAAAAATGAAGTGTTCCTTGGTTTGAGGTGTACAACTGATAACAAAATGAAGTGTTCCTTGGGTTGATCAGTTTGATGATTTATCATTGGTTTTATGATCATATTATTTATTAATTATGTATGATTATGATGATCGATTGATGATTATTTGATTTATGCTTTAATCGTAATGACATTTTGTATGTTTAGATCAACTGGAAATAAAGTAAAATAATGATAGGTACATAATGATATTAGCTAACATAATTAATATTTTTTAGAATTTTCATGCATTAATATGAATATTTATAAAATCATTGAAGCATAATAACAATTAGTTAATATTTTGCTTTCATTTTTTATAAATTAGAATTTTTTTTTGCAATTTTTTCTATGAAAATAAAATATAACATGATTTTGTTATTTGAGATATTTTTTGGTCAAATGAAATATTTTTAAGAAAATAATATATAACAAATAATTTATTTCAGGTGAAATTGGATTATTTGTTATATATATATATATATATCTTTTGTGAATTTTTCTTTTCTTGTATTTACGTAAATATATACTCTATATTGAAAAGTGAAAAGTTTTATTTAAATATATTTCCATTTTTATATATCTATCGTTTGTGATAAAATATTTAAAACAAAACTAAATATTATTAAAGAAAAGGAAATATAACAAAAAAACTCTTAATAATGACATATATGAGTAATATATTTAATTTACAGAGGTTACGTACGTAATGAACCACTCTTAAAAATAATGTGAGAGCAATATATAAGAAACTAATTACTCAGATAATATTATAGATATTTATATGTATTTCTACATTTTTCTAATCTATTTATATTACCTTTGAATTTTTTTTGGGTGTGGGGTGGTTTTTCCTTGATGTTTGTACCAGTTGGATTGTCGATCTGGACGTTACTGGTCGGATACCAGACTTTATAGGATCATGGACCAAACTTCTTACCTTGTAAGAAGATTTCATTTCATGGACGAACATGTTCCTTTGCTTATTACATTTACTATACTTGCTTAGAAAAGGTCTCATTAATTTTGAGTTGAAGATTCAAACTGTTACATGTTCCACCGCAGGAGAATTCACGGTACTGGCTGGAGTGGTCCAATACCGTCTTCATTTTCCAACTTAACTTCCTTACAAGAACTGTATAGTGCAATACTATCAGAAAGTATTATTGTATATATCTATTTCTTTCTCTCTCGCCACATAATCTTGTTCTTAATGTAGGAGGCTTGGTGATTTATCCGGTGGAAGCTCTTCTCTTGACTTCATAAAAGACATGAAATCTTTAACTATATTGTAAGGCAAATTCTACTATAATTTAGGAACTGTTTCCCTCTCCTTCTTACGTGTATTTGACAGTGTGTGATGATATGTGTGGCAGAGTATTGAGGAACAACAATCTCACTGGTACCATACCTTCTGACATCGGGGAACACTCAAATCTGCTACAAGTGTAAGTATAACATACGGCCATGTGTGTTCCGAGTAATTTCAGTAAAACATTGAGTTGATTTTAAGTCACCGCGAGAATATCAAGTGATCGAAACATTGCTGATTTCCCATTTTTTTCCATTCATTGATAACTTAATGTGTTACTGCGTAATTCATGTCTGGTTTATAGTGATTTGAGCTTCAACAAACTACATGGACCAATTCCTGCTTCGCTTTTCAACTTAAACAACCTCACTCACTTGTAAGCTTTCTACTTAGGTTGTTTTGGGTCTTTATGTTCGTATCTACCAGTGATAACTGTGAAAAACTTTGTTGTCTTCATATTAGGTACCTGGGAAACAACACGTTGAACGGTTCTTTGCCTACTCAAAAGAGCCAGACTTTGAGCGATATGTGGGTTACAAGTCTTGTATAATTATTGGTCATCTTTGAAAGTCAAAATTTCCTGATATAGACTTAAGCTTTGTACAATATAATCAGAATTTTTTGGAATATTTAACATATTTTATTTAATTCTAAATCATTCTTCTTTTATTATTGCAGAGATGTTTCATACAATGATTTGTCTGGTAGCCTTCCTTCATGGATCAGCTTACCAAACTTGAAACTGTACGTAAACAAAACACTATATATATACTTATATTTACAGTGTTTTTAAAGTTGATATTTATTAGATCATAAAAGAAAACTATATTTTATTTGTGCAGCAACCTTGTTGCTAACAATTTCACCTTGAAAGGTCCTGACAAGAGGTGATTCTATTAAATATGTTCTTTTTGATGCCTGAAATTTCAGTCTTTCATCTTCTTAATATCCTCTTTTTTTTCATTTTGTTAAAAGGGTTTTACAAGGATTGAAGTGCCTGCAAAAGGATTTCCCTTGCAATCGAGGCAAAGGAATCTGTAAGTGCGACAAAGAGATATCATCATAAACCGTTGTTCTCAACTGTGCCTGTAATTTATGTTAGGAAAAAAAACACTCATAAGGTTTTATTCACTATTGACTGGTGTTTAGATTCTGACTTTTCAATCAACTGCGGAGGGCCACAAATGCGATCCTTTAGAGGAGAAGTTTTTGAGAAGGAGGACGAGGATCTCGGAACAGCTTCATTTGTCGTGAGTGATGTTCAGAGATGGGCAGTCAGTAGTGTCGGATTTTATGCCGAGGCTAGTAACAATGTATGGATTATCAACACTTTGAACGCGGAGCTTTACAAGTCAGCAAGACATTCATCATCGTCTCTGCGGTATTATGGGTTGGGGCTAGAAAATGGAGGCTATACAGTAACACTTCAGTTTGCTGAAATAGTTATTACTGATCCTTACTCTTGGAAAGGTTTAGGAACACGCCGTTTTGACATCTTTGTCCAGGTTTTGCCCTTCGGCTTTACAGGTTACCTTGTTGGTGTAATAATTTTCTTTTGCTGAATTCTTGCTCCATTTTTCCAGGGAAGACTTGTTGAAAGGGATTTTGATATACGCAAAACAGCTGGTGGAACTACTATCCAAGCTGTTGAAAGAAAATATAAAACAAATGTATCAGAAAATTACCTTGAAATTCATCTTTTCTGGGCTGGCAAAGGAACAGCCGGTGTTCCTATTATGGGTACGTATGGGCCATTAGTATCGGCCGTCAGTGCAAAACCAGGTATCACAACAACCTTCAAATTCTTTTCTTTTTTTTTTCTTTCTCAATTGCCCTCTCTGATGCTAAGTACATATTGTTGTTGTTTAGACTTTACACCAACTGTGAGTAATATGCCACCAAGAAAAAGTATAGCACCGGCCAGTACTTTTGTGGTTGCTATTGTTGGCCTGGGACTTTTAAGCATCTTTGCGGGTGTGGTTATCTTCATGATCCGGAAAAAAAATAAGCGTTACACAGATGATGAAGGTGATTATATATAGCAAACACAAACAAACCTTTGAGCTTAAATATCATTTTTCAAATTGAATTTTAATTTTTATTTAAATTTTTTATATTTTAATTTTAATTTTTATTGTTACAGAGCTGCTTAGTATGGACATAAAGCCTTACACTTTTTCTTACTCTGAACTTAAAAATGCCACTCAAGATTTCAATCCCTCAAGCAAGCTTGGAGAAGGAGGATTCGGGTCTGTTTATAAGGTAAGCCCCAGGCACAAACCAACAAAACCTAGATAACTAATGCATTTGTGTTTTTGTTATGATTTTTAACACATCCAACAGGGAAAGCTAAATGATGGGAGAGAGATAGCGGTGAAAGTGCTGTCGGTTGGATCCCAACACGGGAAAGGACAATTTGTTGCAGAAATTGTAGCAATTTCTGCAGTTATGCATCGCAACCTAGTACAACTTTACGGTTGCTGCTATGAAGGAGATCACCGTTTGCTCGTATATGAGTATTTGCCAAATGGAAGTCTCGACCAGGCACTATTTGGTAATGAACATAAACATGACTTGTTTAAATCTTTACGTCTCTGCCAAGCTAAATTACTCAGGATGGTTGCAGGAGGTGATAAGACTTTACATCTTGATTGGTCAACACGTTTTGAGATATGCATGGGAGTAGCCAGAGGTCTAGCCTACCTCCACGAGGAGGCGAGTGTTCGCATAGTACACAGGGATGTGAAGGCGAGCAACATTTTGCTTGACTCTAATCTGGTCCCCAAAGTTTCTGATTTTGGGCTTGCAAAGCTATACGATGATAAGAAAACCCACATAAGTACCCGAGTCGCAGGGACCATGTATGCCTTCTCAAACCACTAACCTTTTTCTTCTTAATTTGCAACACTAATATATATATATATATATATATATATATATATATGTATAAATATATATGTTATGTCATTATTATAACACACAATGTTACATGTACAAATGCAAGTGGATATCTTGCGCCAGAGTATGCCATGCGTGGACACCTAACAGAGAAAGCAGATGTGTATGCCTTTGGTATTGTGGCTCTTGAGCTGGTGAGTGGAAGAAAAAACTCTGATGTGAACCTGGAGAATGAGAAAAAATATCTTCTTCAATGGGTACGTCCTTGCTTCTTAGTCAAAATTTTGATTGTAAATGGTTTTCAAGCCGATTAAATATATCAATTCTGGTGTACACAGGCATGGAATCTACACCAGGATGGCCGAGAAGCTGAACTAATTGATCATGAGCTGACTGAATTCAACATGGAAGAAGTGAAACGAGTGATAGGAATTGCTCTGCTATGCACATATTCATCTCATTCTTTGAGACCACCAATGTCAAGAGTGGTGGCTATGCTTTCAGGAGACGTTGAGGTCAGTAAGGTAACCTCACAGCTAGGCTACCTAACTGACTGGAGATTTGATGAAAGCTCAAGCTCCTCTTTCAGTGCTTTGCAAGCTAAAGACACAGGCAGTTCTGAATCTTTCTCTACGGGCTTTGTGACACCCAAAGACGGCAACTTTAAGCAACTTGGAGTAAGAATCAAGGAGGGGAGATGATAATGTCTCATCTATATATCATGTCTATATATATATAGACCTTTGTGGGAGATGAACATGTCTCCTCTGTCTATGACTTATTTGGTTGGAGAGACATATTTCACTCTGAATCAATATTGTGTTAAGCAGTAAGCACTTTATAATGAGTTTGTCCCCTGTTGAAACTGAATAGTCTATTTTATGATTCGTCATGATGAGAATATATGTATATGCTATATAAACTTCTACACAGTTTTCTTTACATCAAAAAATTATTATATTACTCAAACTATAGCTGATCTATAGATTCAAACTGGAATAAAACCAACAAAACCTAAATTGTGATGACAAATAAGAATTATCATCGCTAAACCATCTGCTGCCAATTATGGTACATCAATGTGTGAATAACTTTGAAATTCTAAAATCTTCATTGAAACGATGTTGAGCATCTCTATCCATAGTATGATAATAAGATTCTAAAAGTTGATTAAATGCTACTTAAAATTAAAATGATGGTATTGAGTTCTCAAAACTTCAAATATCCATCTAATATTCTCAAATGAGAAGTTTTGAGAATTTCTTAGATGAATATCTAAAACTTTGCAACTCTCATCCATTATTTTAATTTTAAGTAGCATTTCTTCCTATGTACTCACTTTTGAGAACTCATCCTCATATAATAAATGAGTGGGTTCAAAAACATAGATTACCATAATACATAAATAATTAAGAAAATTATCATAGTCTAGAAACTGTGTCAAATTACCATATAAATGGACACTAAACTCCTTGAGAGCATGTGAGCATATGTATAACACACAACAATAATGTACTATTCTATTTATAATGTTGATATAGAATATATATAGGTATCAAACACACATGCCTAGATTATCATCCGGTAGCACTGGAACAATACTATGTTCAAACAGTTGCAATCGTCATAGACCATAAATGCCACCATGTACAACATCAACATCAACACCAACACCACCACCACCACCACCAAACAAAGTTAACATGACTCCATTGGAAACTACTTTAGTCACTACGTCACGTCAGATTGTAGGTAGACAGCCATCACACAATGAAACATCTCTCTTTTTTGAGGTCTAGTTTTATCATAAGGAACTTCTCCCCTTATATAATAATCCCTAAATTTACTCTCTGGTTACTCAACTTGCTCTCCGAATCTTCCAAATACATTTAAGATAACTTTTCATTTTTTTATGGAAAACTTCATATTCAAACAAACTTTTTTTTAACTCTGTGAAAAACGTTCATATATCTTCAACCATATATCCACTTTTCTTTTGCATTCTCAGCAAGCTATGCATATCACACATGCATGTACTACTTCGTGTACTACTTTACGAACGGGTATCAAATACACATTCATAAATCATCATCCAGCAGCACAAGAACAACACTATATTCGAACAGTTGCAATCTTCATAGACCATGAGCATCACCATGCACATCGTTAACACCAATGCCACCAAACTAAATCAACAGCGTAAACTACTTCAGACACTACATTAGGTTGACACATCCATCACACAATAAAACCCCTTTCTCCTTTTTTTTTTTGAGGTCTGGTTTTCTAATAAAACACAGTTTCTCTTTATATAATAATTTTTAGATTTACTTTCCAAGTCTTCTAACTTGCTCTCCAAATCTTTCAAATATATTTAAAGTAACTTTTCATTTTCTCTAGTGGAAAACTTTATCTCAAACAAACTCTATTTGCACTATGAAAATGTTCATATAATTCTAACCATATATCTTCTTTTCTATTCCAAACTCAACAAGCCCATTCATATTACAGACCCATCTTCGTGACACACGAATATAATATCTCCTATACTACTTACTGATACATTACATCTCAGTAAACCGCATGTTCACAAGGGAACGAAGGAAAAGAAAGTACGGAGTGGCTGAGCTGGAAAATGGGAAGAAAAGACTCTAGTTCTTACCGAGGGTTCGTTACATTGTCAAGTTGAAAAGCTTGACAAAGACTCTAGTTCTTATCAAGACGTCAATTGAATAACAAAATTTAAAATCGTCATATTTGATGTTGTGGGAAAAAAACACCGTATGACAAAAATATCAGAGAAAATCCATATAACATAAGATGCGTTTTTTGAGGCTGGTGAGGAATACAAAAAGTTCAAACGAGCATAACCTTGTCATAGGAAAAATGGAATTCTCCCGTAAACTTATCGCTCCATGTTTTTTCATACATGAACATATATATAAACCGCATTTAAACTATGAAATGTGATCAGTTACGTCATAACTGGGTTTGATTCTCCAGACACAAGGCAGTTATTTTTTACATTAACTGCCAATACGACCTCGGTCAAACGTAACCAATATGTCGATCTTGGCAGCCATGTCAACACACTCTAGCACATATGTCTATATAAACCGAAATTGATTCCGTTTATGATGGAATTGACCATATTTCAATAGTTAAAATTTTATTAGTTTGTGGTATTTTAAGCATTATTCAAAAGAGGGAACGATAGATTAGGCGAAAATTGGTCACTCTCCCCCTGATCATATGGGTATAAATATGTCATCATGCGTTTGATCATTTTTTTTTCAGATGCTACAGCATCAATATTTGGAAAATTCTAATGTATAAGCTAATTGTGACAGCTCTTCATAACCGTAGAAAATCAATGGACAAAAGAAAGAAGAGAGGAATTGATGTCTTAGCAAGTTTCACAGCTCCTATCTTAACGTTACCACTAGGCTTGCCTGATCCTTACACAAAATATCTTATTATGATTTAAAGGCAATTACACTTTCAGTTATAAAACTGATTCAAGATGTAGTTCTCATTAAACTGGCCTACCCCGTTCCTAGGCAAAGCGGTTGAGCCCTCAACTGCTGGTGGATCCGGCTGCCAGTAGCTGGACACTGAATTGAGTTGAGTCACAGACCCTTGAACCACAGGTTGGAGGTTGCTCGTGGAATGTTTGTTAAGGGAAAACCGTCTTGGCTGGTCTGAGGAAACCCAAGGGGTTGAATTTGACAGAAGAGAGAGAGCACCATCAAGATCTTGAGAAGTACCCATGTGTGAAGAGATTGTGACCTTTTCTGAAAAATCTGCACAAAACCAACATGAATACAACATATACTTGAACCCCAAGAGAATATATATATTAATAAGCAGTAAAGAAAACACACAAACCTTTACTGAATAACTCAGCTCTCGTGGTTTTCGTTTTGGGGTCCAACAATCCAAATCCACATTGCTCGGTGAAAAGCTTATTGGGAATCTCGGTCTTTACAGGTTCTTGCAATAACCCTCTTGATGGTACAGGCTTGGGATTTGGCCATAGAAACTTTTCTTCACTTCTTGGATGGATAAGTGCAAATTTGTTCCACACAAAATCCATATGTTGCTTCCCATCTGCATATACAGAATGACAAAAAGCAACTCAACTACATGAAATGATATTTTTATATAGAAAAGGGAGAAATACTAATCCTATATAACCAATTGTAGCCAAAGTTAGATTTCATATAGGATTAGAGATAAGTGATATACCATATGTCCTCCCGGGATTGGGCTTGCGACGTCTTGCATTGTGATCTGAGAGACGCCTGCGACAGCTACGTTTCTTCTCATCAAACTCAGAGAGACAGTGAAACCTTTGGAGACCAAAAAATAGCATAAAAGAGTCATAAGGCTTTTGTTTAAAAAACCAATATCTCTAGTGAGAAAGAGTAGCTTCTTACCTGCTACATTGTTGGCAAAACCGGCGTTCTACGCCACTCACAACAACTTTAGGGAACTTTGAATGGTTTTCACAAATCCTGTGTTTCCGATGATAGTCTTTAGCTGAGGAGAGGTCAAGATTACAGCCTTCAACTTGGCAGTGAGGAGTTTGTAACTTGTGAGAAACAGGTTTGGTTTTCTTCACCGGAGAAGCAGAAGATGACGATGCGAGGCTCACCGGAAGCGCCGATCCTTTAGCATTATTCTCCACTTCCCAAAAGTCTTCAAAGTATGTTCTCTTACCAAGCTTCAAACCAAGAACCGGATCACCAGAGCCAAAGGAAAGTTCAAGACTCGGAGAAGTATCAATCCCCATTGCAAACTCTTCACTGCTCCCAAATTTTCCAGGAGGAAGACTTTCACCAGCTTCTGATGTGAAGTTGTATGTTCTCACTTCAGCTGAGGAAGAGCAGCTAATGGAAGTTGACTTTGAGCTTTTAGAGAAAGCATGAGCTAGATCAGAACCTGGACTACCACCATAAGCCACTGTAGCAAAGCTGGAAGAGTAAAGAGAGGTGCAATCAAACCCATCATTTTCCCAATCCATTGGCCGTTGCTTTCTAGGAATTTCAGCTGATGAAGTACCAAATGATATTAAATTATCCCACTCCCACTGCAAGGATGGCTTCGCATTACACTCCATACAGACACTAACCACCAAAATCTGAAAATACACAGATTTCATTAGAGTTTAACTAGCAGCTATATTGTAGAATGGAACCTCTAGATTTTCAAACACATGCAGAAACAAAATGGATTCTTGCTAGCAAGCTACTTATGTATATATAGATGCTACTGACAAGTGACAACTAGAAGACACACTTGATTTCCTTCTTTAACTCTGTTACAAACCAGATCATGATGAATCAGAGTCCAAACTAGATCCAGAGCAAGAAGAAAGAGAGAGAAAAAAAGACAGAACAGATTTGCTTAAGCTAAATTGTGATAAGGCATAGAATGTTTTTGCATGTGCAGGCAAGGAAGGTTAAAATTTAGGTGTTGCAATTATAACATCATCTGGTTATTCTAAATTCTGGTTTGTACTTAGGTTTCATGATTTGCTCAAATCTCTATAATACCCTTCATTCTTATCTCAACAAAAGAAAAGAGATATATACTTTCTGATCAATGACCATAAGTGATACACTAAAAGCAGATCTCTAAGAAGCTTCTTCCTCTGTTGCACTATTTATTACAGAATCATAGATTTCTACAAGCAAAGTCAAGGGCAATAAAACAACCAGCAAGAAGTACTCTTTACCTAGGAAAAATGCTTCATTTAACTTCTCTGTTATTTGCAGATATAAAAAGGACAAAACTCAACAGATTGCACCAACACCAACATACCTAAGAAGAAATTTATGGATCTCTCTGTAAGGTGAAACAAGAGGAAGAAGAGTCTCTTTTTTTTAAGCTCAATTTTTTTGACTTTCCGTCACAAGTTTCATTCACATTTATAACAACAACAAAAAATACCCTCATTTTTCTCGTAGAAAGAAAACTTTTTCGCTCACCAATAATTTACATTCATTGAGTTTGTGGGGGCACAATCCTTCAAAGAAGTAGGGACCCTCCTTTACCATTTCACTATCAAAAGCTGTTTACAGATGCAGATTACCTACTCAATAGCTGTCAAGATCATCCCTTTAATATTACATTCAGTAACATTTGTTTACTACTTACAACCCACTAAGGTTTCATGGTTCCTAAATAGATACTAGAATCAGTAACTTACAAAACCCATAAGAGATCATGAACTAAAAAAAGGTTTTTTCTTTTATGGAATGAGATCTGTAAGATTAAAGTAAGAAAAAGAAAAAACAATATTTGTTTTAACCTTGTTGAGAAAGTGTGGTTTGAGGGTTTTTAGATTAGATGCAACATAATGGTTATTTAACTCAGCATCCCTCTCTAATTATTATGCTATTGTGTAGGTAGTAGTAAAAAATAAAAATAAAAATTCAAGAAAGAGATAATAAAGTTAGCCAAATCTCAGCCGCAAATGGATGTCTCACTATTTATGGTAAAGAAGTTTTTTCTTTTAAGCTAAGTAAAAAAACCAAAACCTCTACTTCAAGCTATAAGATTTACAAGAAACCAAAAATCATTAAGGGAATTAGACTAAATAAAAGATGGGTTACCAATTGATTAGAGATTTAGGTAAGGATCTCGTCGCTAATGAAGTAAAGCTTCCATTTTTGGCTTGACACAATACAGAGCATTTAGAGAGAAGAACAAAGAGAGAGAAGAAAAAATGGGAAAGAGAGAGAGAGGAAGCATGTGATGTGTGCAAAGAAGTGCCAAGTTGGGAGATGGGGAGGGGTCAAACTGCTTTCACCAGCTTCAACTTTTTTGGACGATTCATTCATTATCGAGGAAAAAAGCAAGATTTTATTATTATTAAACAACTTTTTATTATTTGATATGGAGAGTCTACACAAACACATGGAATTTTTTTTTTTTTTTGTAGATCAAAGAACGTTAAAATCAAGAATAACCCATGCTTTTTTCCTTTGATTTTCTTGTTATTATATTAATATATGCATGATTCAATACACTTTTTTAAGAATAAAAGTTCTTGGGTTACTAGATTGATTCTATAATAACTTGTTTTAAAACATTTTATCATAGGAAAGAAAAGTTCGTTGGAGTTATCATTGTGCAGGGAGACAAACCGCTCACCAGGTATGGCTTAATTATATTTTAATCTAATGAACTTTAAATTATAAATCCAGATTCTCACTTGCGTTTAAGAACGAGATTATCTTTCGTACAAGATTTAATATAAGTCAAAATATATAATTTTCATTTTGCTTAGGTTTCAAATGGTAAAATCAGATCAAACGGTGCATATCAAACATGACAATTACACATCAAATAGATCATGCAAGAGAAATACAAACTAGACAATTTATTATAAATTATAAATGACAGAATCAATTCAAAATGATAGATTATATATTCAAAGAATAAAAAATATATTAAAATATCAAAATAAATATTTTAGATTTGTAGAATCAGCCGAAATATTTATTGATTTTCTTATAAAATGCTTGTACATCTTCTATTTTGTTTTAATTGATCATAATTATCTTTGAAGAACCGACATATTACTAATATTAAACTGTTTGTTGATATTTATATAGAAATATTTATATTTTTTTGTTGAAAAGTATTGTGTTTTATCTATGACTGTATGTCATACTTATAATTTTTAAAAAGATATGCTTATAATTTTAAAATTGACACAAATAATATTTAGTGTGAACTATATTGTTTAAGCTAATCATTATATATTATTTATAAAATCAAATAAATGTATTTAAAATTAGTGTTTGTAGCAAAATCATTTATTAGTGAAAAAAACAGATCAATACCTTCAAATGTTAGCGGATGAGATCTGCATGTAGATCTCCTATTTTTTTCACAAAAAGACAAAAAAATATTGAAATGCATGCAGATCTCTCGATTAAACTCTTTTTATAAACATAAGAAGGTGAATGGTAAAAGCAGTGCAGGAGAACTGCAAGTGCGGGTCCCGCTCCTCCATTCGAACATTTATGACCGATTTGATTTTTATTTATTTTGTGATAACTTATTAATTGTATTTAAGTTAAAATTTTAAGATTTTACAGTATAATTACTTTATTTAAAACTAAAAATGAGTTCGTATATATGTATATTTCAGTTATGAATATAATTAGGTATTTACTATAAAAAATCAGTGATTATTAATATATTTTCATCACCGGAAACGAGGACAATGAAACATTAATCACACATGAAAATAGATGATGTTTTACGAATGGATCATGGAAAAAGAATGCAATTTTTTCGAAGTAAGCTGGTATTCCATGTTGGAGGGATTTGTCGGTTTACTGAAAGCAAGGAATACACAACCCACTGTCACTTCTTTGCATTCAAAATTAGAACTTTTTATTTGGACAATGAAATATATGTTAATTCTCATACAATTTCTTATTGTTCTACAGTGGTGAAGATGGTTTGTGAACTAGAGAAACGACCAACTTTCCCAACTTATTTGGAAAATATTTGAAGATGTCAACATAGATTTAGCACCTTTGCGATCAACATGTACCTCGAACTCAAATACAACGATATATAGGTTTGCACACAATGAAGGGATGAGCCGCACTAGTCACAAAATCTTAATCGAGTATGTTTTATATTGATGACAACATAAAAAAACAGGACTAGGTGACGATGACCAGAGGTAAGCATGATCAAATCATGCGAAACCAACTTACGAGCCCATCTGAAAACTTTACAGAAGCAAAAATCACTGAGATAAATTCCACACGATAAAACAAAATAAAAATCACGCTGATCTTAGAATAAACAAAAAACTGAAGGACACTTCAAGCATTTTGGAGTAGAACATACAGAGGCTATCACAACTCAAAGCTGAAAATTTAGTTATTCAAGGAAAAATCGGTTCTCAATGCTGCAAGAATTATATATGCAAATTGTTTTCTTGAATGAGTTGGTGAAAAACAAGGCACTACAAGAAAACAAAGCATTTACTAGGAAATTTTACTAGGAAAATTCTTCCTCGTAAATTTACTAAGCCTTTACTAGGATCTTACGAGGAAAGCAAATTTCCTCGTAAGTTCCTCGAAAACTTACGAGGAAACCCTTTCCTCGTAAGGCCTTAGTACATTTACGAGGAGATTACGAGGAAAAAGTACTTTTCCTCGTAAGGCCGTTGTAAACACTTTCCTCGTAAAGGCGTAGTAAAATATTACTACGAAATTAGGAGGAAATAATTTCTTACTACGAAATTAGGAGGAAATAGATAGGAAATATCGAATTTAAATAAAACACATGTTTTGTACCTAATTTTCCTAGCAATTTCCTAGTAAATGCTCAGATTCAAAATTTTCTATAAATACCACCTTATGTGATTCATTTGAAACACACCAAAAAAAAACAGCTATAAGCTTGATCAAACACAAAAAAAATGTCCGGTCCGGGAAATATTTTCGAGTTGCGGCAGTGGATGTATTCACACAGAGATAATAACGGGAGGGTGACTAACNCAAATGGTAGATTGTGATAGGGTTCATGATATGGTAGGTGATGCATTTCTAACTCATGATGATGATGAAGTTGAAGAACCTAACTTAGATGCAAAAAAGTTTTACGAAATGTTAGAAGCTGCAAATGAGCCAATTTACAGTGGTTGTAGAGAAGGTCTATCTAAATTGTCGTTGGCTGCTAGAATGATGAGTATTAAAATCGATCACAATCTACCTGAAAATTGTATGGATGCATGGGCAGACTTGTTTAAAGAGTATTTGCCAGAAGACAATGTGTCTGCTGAATCTTATTATCAGATTCAGAAATTGGTATATAGTCTTGGGTTGCCCTCGGAGATGATAGACGTTTGCATCGACAACTGCATGATTTACTGGGGAGATGATGAGAAGTTAAAAGAATGTCGATTTTGTAAGAAGCCACGATTTAAACCGCAAGGTCGAGGGCGCAATAGGGTACCGTACCAAAGGATGTGGTACCTACCAATCACAGACAGATTGAAAAGGTTGTACCAATCTGAGGAGACTGCTGGAGGGATGAGATGGCACGCCGAGCATACTCAGAAGGATGGAGAGATGACTCATCCATCAGATGC